ATATTATAACTAATAATTATACAGACATCCAAACAGAAAAACAACGTCTCAGTAGTCACCGATTTCTACAAAGTAATAAAAGCGCATAATGATGGAGTTCCTTTTAAAATGCTTTCAACTGAGGATGTATCTTTCTTAGAAATAGGGGTTGGAATGGATGAATTGTGACATGCGGTTTTTGGTTTGCCCAGGGATAAGGCCCTAGGGCCAAATGGTTTTCCTCTTTTATTCTTTCATAAGTTTTGGGATTTTCTTAAGGATGAACTAGTGTTGATGGTTAATAAATTTTTACTTAGGGGTATTTGAATAAAGCTATAAATTTAACTTTTATTGCTTTGATTCCTAAGAAGTCTTCAATTGCGGGTATCAATGATATTTGACCTATTAGTCTTTTGACTAGTCTATATAAGATCATATCCAAAGTGTTGGCTGAAAGAATTAAAAGTGGTTCTTCCTATTATTGTTTTAGGTACACAATATGCTTTTATAAAAGGTAGAATGCTTATGGATGAGGTTTTGATTGCCCTAAAGTGCATTCATGCGAGAGCAGTAAATGAGTCACTAGGGGTTATTATTAAACTTGAAGTGGAGAAAGCATATGATCGTATAGAGTGGGCTGTGTTAGATGAAATCCTTCTTCGTATGGGTTTTGGTGAGAAATTATGAAAGTGAATTTCAGGATGCTGGTCTATGGCCCACTTTTTAGTTCTAGTTAATGGATGTCTGAAAGGTTTCTTTTAAGCTTCTAGGGGTATTCCACAAGGGGATCCTTTATCCCTTTTCTTTTTTACTTTGGTGGGTGAAGCTTTCAATCTGATGATTAATAATGTGGTGGATAGTGATATTTCTTCCAGCTTTAAGGTTAGCCCCAATGGTCAGACTATTTCTCATCTTCAATACACAGATGACACTCTGCTTTTCTGCGAGGCAAGTTCTCAATAAATGTTGAATATTCAGAGATTTTTGAGATGTTGTGTGTTGCCATTGTGTCTTAAAGTTAATTTCAACGAAACATCTATTATTGAAGTTTGTTGTAATCAAGTTCTGGTGGAGTCATTGGTAGTTGTGTTAAATTGTAAAGTAGAGTCATTTCCAATAAAATATTTGGGAATACCTCTTTTAGACTCTAGGTTGTCAAAGGAGATTTGGGACCCAGTGGTTAAGCATGCTAATTCTAAACTTGATATTTGGAAAGAAAAATATCAATTTTTAGGTAGGAGAGTTACTTTGATTAAATTTTCATTTTCTAATCTCCCTATATATCAAATGCCTCTTCTTTTAATGCCTGCAGAAATCATTAAGAAATTGGAGAAGTTGATGAGGGATTTTTTGTGGGGCTCTGATGCTAAAACAAAGAGATATCATCTTGTTAGTTGGAATAGAATTTGTACACCCAAGTGTGAAGGTAGTTTGAGCATTCACAAGTTAAAATTAGTCAATCAAACTTTACTTGCAAAATGGTGGTGCCATTTGTTAAGTAGGGAAGGACATCTTTGGATTGAAGTTTTGAAAGCCAAATATATATTTGACTGGTGTCATAATATGGTTGCGGTAGGATTTGTTGGTGGACGTTCTCTCACTTGGAGGGCCATTGTGTCAATGCCTTCTTTTTTCAGCATCATTTGAGATGGTTGGTGGGTAAAGGTGATATGGCCTTGTTCTGACTCTCAAGGTGGGCATCTGAATTCCCATTTAAATTATAATTTCTTGACATATATCATAGAAGCTCACAACAAATGGCTATTGTGCATGAAGTAGGCAGTAGCCATCGATCAATCTATGGAGTTGCAAAATATTTTGGAGGAGTTATTTATCTCATGCTCAGAAGAGGATATTGCAATTTGGGATTTGGAACTTGATGGTGTTTTCTCAATAAGGTCAGCATATAATATCTTGTTCCATGATCGAATAAGGTATAATCAGCCTTTTTTAAAGGAAATATGGAAATGGAAAATCCTTTATAAATTGTAGGTTTTTATTTCAATTTTGGCTCAAAGTAAATACCTTAGAGTGGATAATATGAGAAAACGATGTAAGATCATTATTAATATGTGCCCTTTTTGTAAAAATGATGTGGAGACACAAGATCATTTATTTTTGTATTGTCATTTCACCTCTTTGCTTTGGGATCATACTTCGGTTTTAGAATTAAATGCTTTGATGACTTCTTAAGTATTTTCATTCATTTGTTTTCATTATCTCAAGAACACGGTTTTGATGAGTCAGCCGATTGACCTATTGCCGTGCGGTCCCTCGTGAAGAAAGGAATTCACAAAAATAACATTTATTCTTTGGCTAGGAAGAGAAGGCCAATGCAAAGGACTTGGACCCTAAATTGTTAGGAGGCATGTTCTTCTTTTTCGTGGTGGGCACAACTGGGGGAATTACGTCCCTTCTCACTTCGGATATGCCCATCTTTGAAAGGTAATAAATATGTCATTCAGCAAATTAATTGTGTAGAAATTTATAGCAAAATTATGTTTTATTTTCAGAATTTAAAAATAGTTTTATATATTTCATATTTTACACTCCGGTCCCACTTTTTGAGATTAAAATGTATATTGTAGTTTTAGCTCTTTCTATGAGGTAATTTGATGATGCTGGATGTTACCATTTTTTTGGGAAATTAATCAAATCACACCTAAAATATCAACTGTTTAATGTTTCACCCATTTTTCAAACCGCACTCAAAATATCAACTATTCTTACTCATCATTACATGTCCTTTGATGGAATGTTTGAAATTAAATCAATAGAAATGGATGAGATGCTAAATATTTCATCTCTTGGGATACCTTTTGATAAAGTCCTTTATTTATTTGAGCCATAGTCAATGTAAATATACTACTTCCAAACTCACTTTAACTCTGATATTTCAGATTTGAAAATATAAGGAAGTTACCCCATCTCCCCATTCCTAGTGAAAGTGTAAGCATTTCAAGTTCCATTCTTCAATTTTAAGATTTGCTAAATTTATGGATTCTAAATCTAGGGCTTAAAACGAATTTGAGAGATACAAGAAGCATGTTCATCCCTCAGTGTTCCAAATGGGAATTCAGACTTCATTCCAGATTCATAGCTCTTTTGAAGAATGCTATTAATGACCTGACGCTTTAAAAATAGATAAAGAGTTTTGTTTAGATGGAAGTTCATAAGTCACATTATATCATTCTTGTTGTTTATTTGTATAATGAAAACTATAGAGTCAGCAGTTCTATGGGGTCATCCATCATGATATTGTTATTGTAATAGATGAAAATTTTTGTATTCTTAGGGTTGTTTTACCCACATACCTCCTTTCTTTTGTGTTTATTACTGAGTTTTTGATACTTCGGTTGCAGTCCTCATGCTTTTACTGGTTTACTTGGCCTCGCCCTCCTCACAGTTCAGACAATCTTGGCCACATTATTCGAGGTAGTAATTGCGAACCTGCTTTAACTATTCAAATTCCTCTCAGAAGTTTTGCTTATCATGCGTTGCATTGAGAATTGAAGGCATTACATGAAAATTTCATATCCCATCTCTTCCGAATCCTGTTATATTTATTTGCTTGTTTTGTTTTCTAGTTGCAAGTTTTACAGAGTGCTTTCTATTGATCTTTGAACTTATCTTCTATGTCGGGTTATGCTCTCCTACACACCACCTTGTACTAACTCCATTGGATACCCTGGTAGATCAGCTCTACCATACACCACCATGCGTACGTCTAATGAAGATGAATTTCAACTCATACAAAGTGACTGAATTTAATGTCTTAAGAGTCATCAATCTTGCTCTTCTTTTAGATAATTTTCATAAAGAATTGGATATGCTAATTCCAATTTATGTCTGAATTGGATATGCTAATTCCAATAAAGAATTGGAATATCCAATAAAGAATTTATTGGATATGCTAATTCCAATTTATGTCTGAATATGCTAATTCCAATTTATGTCTGAATTAGCATAAAGAGTTTATTGGATATGCTAATAAATTATTTATTGGATATGCTAATAAATTCCAATTTATTGGATATGCTAATTCCAATTTTATTGGATAAGCTAATTCCAATTTTATTGAATATGCTAATTCCAATTTATTGAATATGCTAATTCCAATTTATTGAATATGCTAATTCCAATTTTATTGAATATGCTAATTCTAGTTTATTGAATATGCTAATTCCAATTTGTTGATATGCTAATTCCAATTTATTGAATACGCTAATTCCAATTTATTGGATATGCTAATTTCAATTTAGCATATCCAATAAATATGCTAAATTAGCATATTTAGCATAAATAAATTAGCATAAATATTTAGCATATTTATTGGATATGCTAAATTAGCATATTTATATGCTAATTCCAATTGAATAAGCTAATTTCAATATTTATTGGATATGCAATTTAGCATATCCAATAAATATGCTAAATTAGCATATTTATTGGATATGCTAATTCCAATTGAATATGTTAATTCCAATTTTATTGAATATGCTAATTTCAATAAAGTGACTGAATATGCTAATTCCAATTTTATTGGATATGCTAATTCCAAAAAAGTGACTGAATTTTATTGGATATGCTAATTCCAATTCCAATTGTATTGGATATGCTAATTCCAGTTTATTGGATATGCTAATTCCAATTTCATTAAGAATTGGATATGATAATTTCATAAATTTATTTAAAATGAGTCTAATGTGAGAACGCGAGCAAATAATATGATATCCACCAAACCCATCCAATTCAAAAGGAGCCACCACCACCTTCGACTGAGATTGTGAATATAAATTCTTATTAACTGGAAAATAAAAAGTTGAAAAGTATGGTACGTGGGAGAGCTTTTGCTGATTGTATGGAAGGAAAGGTGTGTAGGAACCTTGGTACTCTTTGTTTCCAAATTGTCTTCTTTGATTCATTTACAAACTTTTGGTGACGAAACCTACCATCGACTCTATGGCAGTGGAATTGAGCCTTTTGTATGCAGGGGAACCCTCGACTACGAAGTGTACATGGTGTGCTGGGAACAGGTATCATGGGTTTGTTCCTGGTTCATGCAATCTTCGGCCTTCCGCTTGCTTTGAGCTACTGATTACTTTCAGAATATCAATTCATCGTCGAAATCAGTTCCAAACATCATTGGCCTTAAACCTTGTTTGAATTCACTCTTCCATTTCCTTGGTCACCAATTTTGAATTTTCCATGTGTTAGGTGGATTTTGTTAGTGAATAGTGTAAAGGGTGTGGTTTGTCTTGAAAAATAAAAAAAACTTCGTCCTCATGTAAATCTAGTACATCATAAATAATCATGACTCAGTTTTGATGGGATCAAACCCGTTAAACTGGGTGGACATTGGTGGTGCGGTGATACGTGCCCTCTCGGAGCGACCACTCCCGAACGTGACCACCTCATGATGCGCATTTCCACCCCCAATTCCTCCCTCTCTCTCCTCTTTCTCTCTCTTAATCTCCTTCTCCATCTCTTTGCTTCCTGCTCTGCAATCCCTCCCCCACTCCCATTGCTGCCAATTCCCTCTGCTTCCCAGCTCTCATGGCAGCTCGGAGAATCCACCATGTTCCTTCACTTCGGACCCAACACTTTCACCGATTCCGAATGGGGCACTGGCCACTGCGACCCATCTATCTTCAACCCTGTTGCCTTGGATCCAAAGCAATGGGCTCGAGTCGCTAAGGACGCTGGTTTCTCCAGGCTCATTATCACCGCTAAACATCACGACGGGTTTTGCCTTTGGCCTTCTTCTCTCACTGATTATTCGGTGAGGTCAAGTAAGTGGCGTAATGGTACCGGGGATGTAGTCAGTGAGGTCGCAGAGGCTGCTAAAGAGATGGGTCTTGGGCTCGGGCTTTATCTCTCTCCGTGGGATCGCCATGAGTCCAGTTATGGCCGGACGTTGGAGTATAATGAGTTCTTTTTGGGGCAGATGACTGAGTTGCTTTCTAAGTAAGTTCCAGAAAGGATGGGATTTTCGGGTTTTTTTTCCCTCAGTCTAGAGAGTGAGATAGAGAAAACATGGAGTTTGTGATGAGCTTTTGTTGGTTTTGGTTCTTATCTTTTTTGGTGTGAGGGAATTACTTGTTTTCCTCTCTTTTTTTCTATTTTTTTTCCATTTTCTTCTTTTCTTCTGTTTTTTCTTCCGTTCTTGTTTGATTGTAGAACTCTTTGGTCTCTGTTTGTATTGGTTTCATTTAATGAAAGGAGTTGGTTTTCAACACCTGTTTTGATGGGTTTTTTACAGTTGTTTTGAATTCTTCTCTGCAAAGCGCCTTCATTGGTAGGAGAGAAAAAGTTTTATCTCAAACCCTTGATGGCGATTGTATAAACCAATGGCTTTCCAAAGCTTTACTGTGAATTCATCGATGGCCTTTAATGCCCTCAAACCTAAAAGATGATTAGTTTTCTGATGCTCAGTTGGTGGGTTGTTGTATTCTTTTAGTCTATTGATGGTAGGTGATGTAAAGATTTGTTGCTCAAGCTTTCTTATGTTTTTACCCAAAAACGAGGCTTTTGAAGCCTTTTGTTTTTGTGCAGCCTTTTGTTGGATCAGTTTCTATTTTTTGACGGTGTTTGGTTTGTGCCTTTGTGGCTGTTGAAGTTATGGGGAGATTAAGGAGGTATGGTTGGATGGTGCCAAGGGTGAGGGAGAGAAGGATATGGAGTATAAATTTGAAGAATGGTTTCATGTGATTCACCAGCTTCAGCCTGGGGCTGTCATCTTCTCTGATGCTGGTCCAGATTGCAGGTGGGTTGGTGATGAGGGTGGAGTTGCAGGTTCTACCTGTTGGTCCCTGTTCAATGCCTCCTCTGACACTATTGGTCATACAGATTACGAGTAAGCCAGGCTCTCATTTACGTCTCCTCATTCTTATTCTTATGGTCTTCTATTCCATTTCAATGTGCCTTTCTTTATTCTTTTTCGCTCTATGCTTTGCTTTGTATCTTTATATGTACATTAATTATGATTAGCTCTTGATCATGTCATTTACCGAAAGAAAATTGTTGCTTTCAAATTCAGTTTCATGTGGAAAAGAAATAGCCACCCATTTGCAGATGCATGTATACATTTATTAATACATAGACCAACATCTTATTTGCATATGTATGTGTAAGCCGATGTATATACCCATAAGAAACGGCATCCTGCACACGAAAATTTATGTCTGCCTGCGTTTACACCACATAATTTCATATGGTGTTCATATGAATTGCACTTGCATTGTAATTTCATTTTTTTGCATCTTTTAGAGTTAAGTTAATTTTCAAATTTTCTTACAAAATTGAGTTTATTGAAATCACTTTTCACTCCATAGGAATTGTTATTATTTTTGTACAGTCTATAGGTGATGATTGTGTCTCAGTCATAGCGTGTATTTAGAAAAAATGCTCATGTTTGGCACCCTATGCTGAAGATCTCCTGTCGATACTGAATTCTCTTAACAGGGATCCCCTCCTGATACCAATAGTTGCCATTTCTTAGATAAATATTTGGTGCACCATCTGCCTGCCCTTGCTCCATCATTAATCTTGCTTAGAAGAACTTTCTGCTAGATTAAGGTAGTATTTGTTGAAACTACCTCCTTTCATGAGCTATTATTTGTTATAAATTGGTACTGTAAATCGAACTCTTTGTGAATTAACTTGATAAATTTCAAAGAAATCAGGTGCCTAATCTCATAAAGAAGTCATACAAAATATGAAACCTCCCACACATGTGCAGAACTTCACCATTCTGTTATTTCTTTATTCTGTCTTCTGTGAATTCGAATTCTGCGTTCAGATTTGGTTGACCTTTTTAAACTAATGTGGTTGACTTTCTCTTTGGGATAGCAAGTATATTTTGAGTTTTTTATTTTGATTTCTTTGCTATTGTTTCTTGCATAATATACATGATACGAATTTACATCATACAAATGTCCTAATTCAGTCTGATTTAATGGTTCTCATACTTAATTCATCAGTATGCAAAAATTATAACATATAGATAGAACATGTCACAAAAAGACTGTGAATTTAGGGGTTATCAGGATCTTATAAAACTACCATATAGCATGGTTTTAAACTCACGAACTCAAAATTCTTGTGAAGACTTAATTGCAAATTATGACAACTGAAGGCAAGATAAATAAAGGAATGTTTTCGAAAACATTGTTAGGAACTTGATAAAATTGTGGAAGGTCATTACACAGATAATGGTTTAGAAGGTCATCTAAGAAGCTCTCCTTATGACTATTGGAATTTGCCACTGTGTAGACCTTTTCCTCATGAACATTTTGTACAGGAAATCAGTGGTCTCCTTATGCATGCTTATATTCGCAGTAAGCTCAGAAAGATTGAATGCACTTGTCTAATGTCACAAGCAATGGCTGCCGGATACTTGGTTAAGCCCTAAAAGGAAAGTTTCTGACCTTCAAAGTCATGTCCAGTATATGATAAGGATACATTGGCGATTATTCTTATCACTTTTCCTTTTTTATTGATATTTGGAATGTAATAGCCACCCACATGAACAAATACACATACATGTATGCACATACTAGTTAAAGGCATGCCAGTTGCTTCAAAATGCAAAGAGAGAAACAATCCAAAATACAAATATTCAATGAAGGAAAAAAATACATTCCTATAAGAAATCTAATAACTATAGATAACACTAAACCTGGTATCGCTCTTGCTGATTTCATAAAAAAAGCAAACTCAATTCTCTCTCTTCCTTTTTACGTGCTCTTGATAACAGAAGCTTGCATTCTCTGGCATTATCCTGCACATTGTTGTCAAAAAAATTCATTTGTTAGTATTTCTTGGAGCTAAACACTGAATAGTGACTAGGAAATACCTTCTTTACTCATCCATAGCATGCAATCAGGTATTCTAGTGGAGGTGACCCACATGGGCATGACTGGGTTCCCCCTGAGTGTGATGTATCAATCAGGCCTGGTTGGTTCTGGCACAGCTCTGAGCACCCCAAATCAGCCCTAGAGCTACTTGATATATACTATAAATCCGTGGGCCGGAACTGTCTTTTATTACTCAATGTTCCGCCAAATTCGTCAGGTCTCATATCTGATGAAGATGTTCAAGTTCTCCACGACTTCATGAAGTTAAGGCATGAAACATTCTCACTAAATTTAGCCGAGACTGCCACTATAACGGCTAGTAGCACACGTGGAGGACTTAATGACCCTAAATTTGGCCCTTCTCAGGTAATCAAAGAGGGAATTTACAGTTATTGGGCACCTGAGGAAGGGGCTAAGGATGGGTGGGCCTTATACTTTGATTTTGGAAGGCCATTATCATTCAATGTGCTGCAACTTCAAGAGGCAATACATATGGGGCAAAGGGTTATCAAATACCATCTTGATGTGCAGAAGGATGGAGAATGGGAAACAATTGTCAATGGAACGACTGTGGGGTATAAAAGGCTGCAACGTTTCCAAGCAGTGGAGTCTCAGGTATTGAGACTCAGCATAAAGAAGTCCCGAGCAGACCCATTGATTTCATTTCTTGGCATTTACTTGGAACCACCTCCTGCTATTGGGTTAGAATTGTTGAACTTTAATAGTAATCATCAAGCCAGACATGTCAGATTACGTGACTGGTTTTGGAATGCTAGTAAAGCCTCTTTTTAGCAGTTCGGATGTGCTTTCTAGATGTGCTTTCTATTTGTTGTACACCATTGTTAGATGCAGTGAATTTCTCATCTTGTGTTTTGGTACATTTTCTTTTAGAATGATGATAACTGTAATGTGTGTGTGAGAGAGAGGAGTATTTGTTCCGTATGATATCCACGATTATTTACCAATAAAAGTCGTCCTTATCTGAAAGAAACACAAAGCAAGTGCCAATTTTTCTTACTCCATTTTCAATGCTCTGAATTGCAGAGGGATAGAGAAGGGGCCTTCATACCTGCTTGCTCTTTGATACTTAAAAATGAAGAAATCCATGGAAGAACACATCTTCTGCGTCACGCAGCTCTAAAGAACTCAAAGTGCTCAATATCTTTACAGATTATACGCTCTTTAGAAACGAAAATGAATTGATAGGGCTGCAACCCAATCAAAATAAGTAAAGGCTCACCCATAACTCATCAAAAATTGCAATTCAAGTGTTTAAAAACCTTTAAATTCATCATCTCATAACATTACGGCTGTGCAAAAAAATTAGGATTTCGAATTCCGTAAGTAGCATATATTACAACAAATCATTTAGACTATCCATTTCGTTCTAAAAATAGGTGTTTACATATGGATCTATACCATTTGATGAGTTTCAAATTTCATTTTGGTATTGAAAATTAATTTTAGAGCCATGGGCTGGCAAGGGACCAGACCCGTTTGGGATCAGTTGGGTATACCCGATACGGGTCCGAGTATAAGTCTAAGTTTTGGATTCACGGGTAAAATCCAGGTCTAAGTGATACCCGGACAGTCTGGGTATGTGTCCAACTATATCTGAACGTACAGGTACCCGACCTGTTTTTATTATATATAATATAAGTTTTAACTTGTAACTTAAATAGTTTATAAATTAGAACCCTAAGTCCGTAACCCTAAAATCTCTCTCTCTCTGGTCTCTGCTGCTCTGCAACCCCTGTACCCAAACCCCATCTTCGGATCTTCCCCAAACGGCCTCCCTCTCTGCAACTCTTCCTCTCTCTCTCCCTGAGCTCACCTTCTTCGATGGCCGAATCCCCCATTTATCATTCTCTCTCATAAAGTGGGGCGAAGGCTAAACAGAGTGGAAATGGCTATAGTGGTATTATCTGGGCGAGGAAGCTCACTGGTACTCTGTGGGAGATGAACGAAGTTCCTTGTCTTGAGCAGCAGAGAAAGAAAGAGAAAGAAAAGAGAGAATATTACTGATTTTTTCCCTGAATATTATGTTTAATGCCTCTGTTAATTGGAAATAGTATTTCTTTTTATTTTGTTACCCTTATGGGTCATTTTCTGTTGTCACTTTAATGAGAATTTGTATAATATTTAGGGAAGGGTTTCTATACTTTGCCAACAGCATAGAAATATCCTTCCCTACCATCCCGCCATCCAATTTTGATTAAAAGTGTCACTGTTTGATCTTAGATTCGACGTCTCAAAGTATTTTATTTTTAATTTTTTTATACAAATTATATGAATATGAATACGTTCATCTTTTCATTGGGGTGCATCTATAAAAAATATTAAAAATAATTTTTTGATAAAATATAATGATCAAAATACCTTTAGAAACTTTAAAAAGTATTTTGATCATTTTATTTTATTAGAAATTTATTTTTGTATTTTTCGTTAGTGTAAGTTTAATAGAAGATTGGACGTCCAAATTTTGGTGTTAAAATAATTTATAAAAAAAAATTAAAAATAAAATAATATAGAGACGGGACATTGTGATTGAAAAAATTTTCATTTAAAATGGACGGTTGGATAAAGAGAAATTTATAAGTTTTTTGCCGCAGCAGATAATAAACTGAACTAACAAAAACAAGAACCACGCAAAACAATACTAATAGAAAACAAAGGATAAATATTTCTTCCCTTTTCCTTTATCAACATTTGCATTGAATTTTATGTTTTTTTTTCTGGTCCATTCAATTGAATATAAACCCTGGAAAAATGTGCTTTCCTCCTCTTGATTAATTTAACTGTTTCTTTTTGAAATTGTGCTTGAACTCCATTCATGTTTTTTTGTAAATTCAGAAAATAGATCTGGTACTGGTTCCCTCATAGATATAATAAATATGGAGAGAAAAACAATGTATGATTTTTTTTGTTTTATTTGAGAGTGAAAATGTTGGATTCGGGTCCCGGGTCTAACATTACCCATCGAGTACGGGTATGGTTAAATTGGGCACGTCGGGTTTGGGTTTGGGTCTGGGTACGGGTACAATTTAATTGGACCTGTCAGGTCCGGGTCCAGGTCCACGTACATATAAGTTATTTCAGGTCCAGGTATGTGTCCAACTGGACCCTACCTGTTGCCACCTCTAGCCATCATGAAATTTTCAATGCCAAAAGTGCTTTCGAGATGAGGATTTGAGGTGAGGCTCTAATTCCTCATATCATTTTATGGTAGACCCTCCTTTCGTTCTTCTTTCAAGCCGCATAAAGAAATTCCAAATATTTCACCATACCCCTTCATCTCTTTTTTTTCTCTTTTATTGACTTTTGACCATAAAAATTAGTTCCAAAAAAACTTTTTATACTATTTCAATCCAAAAAATTTTTTAACCTTTTTTTTTCCTTTCTACTTATTAAAAAAGTTTTTGGGTTGAAATGGTATAAAAAGATTTGTTATGATTAATTTTTATGATAAAAATCAATAAAAGAGTGAGATAAGAGATACAGAGCTACAATGAAATCTTTTGCAGTTTTTTTATACCACTTGAAAGAAAATCGGAAGGAGGGTCTACCATGAAATAATATGAGGAATTAAGGTTCTATACAAAATTTTTCCTATATTTTTTTAGCCCAATATATTGGCCGTCCATTTTGGTGAAATGCTTAAATCTAAGCTATAGAAATGTTATTTTCTTTTCAAATTTTTTAAATAATTTTATTATCATTAGATTAACAATTTTAAAAAAGAAAAAGAAAAAAAATGATTTTGAATTCATAAAGGCATAAATCTTGAAATTCATCAAATAGACGGTTTAGATTCATTGTTGGAAGGGACTCATTTTGACCATATATAAAATATATATTGGTTATTTTTTTATTTAGATCGATTAATGAGGTGAAGAAAACATGTGTATCAAATTTTGGATCTTACAAATACTTTAAACCAAGGTTTGGAAATTGACAATTGGGGTATGGCCCAACACATTTCGGTTTCAGTGAAAAAACGGGATTTCGAATCGCTATAACGATTTTAAAGTAGCTTTCTTATGAAATTATAGTGGTGGGCCCTACCCTACCACCCACCTCAATCACACTTACCTCACCATCGATCAAAAGACGTACTCACACATCGGGCTCACCTCAAGGCTTAGAGTCACCTTTGCCTTAATGATGACGTTGAGGTTACCTTTTATGGTTGCACCATTCGTTCTCTCTCTCAAATCTTGGATGTGAAAACATTCGAAGGGTGGCACCTTATGAAGCTATCTTTCTTACTTAGATTTGTCTATATGAAATAATAAAAAAAAATAATTTTATAATGCACAAAAAATAAAAGTACATGTAGTTAAGTTTTAATTGCATATAATTATGTAAATAAATTCTATTTTATTCATTTACAAACATTAGTGTAATTATATTGAAAGTCGTATTGTTTATTTATCTTACTAACTTGTTAAACTTATGTCCGTATAATCATATGAATATAATTATATTAAAATTTATAGGGGATGTTATTTTGTTTTTAATCATATGATATGGAAGCATTGTCTAATAATTTTTAATCATGTTTATCATTATATTATAATTAACAGTATACATTGATAACCAAATCTTGTATTTTATTTATTAATTTATTTATATTATAAATTTTGTAATATATATATATTTTTTATAATTGTAAATAAGATTTTTTAAATTAGATGATATTATGCGATATTTTAGATTTTTTTATTTGTATAATAAAATAATTATAAAATAGAAAGTTATAAACCAACAACTTCAATTTCAATATATACTATTATACTTAGTTAGGTTGTAATAATTTTGGATGAATAAAATGAACTAATAAATGTTTGATACTTTGATCACTTTATGTGTATAGTAAAATGATGATAATCAAATACAAACCAATAATTCTAATTTCGATGTATACTATTGTATTTAGTTAGGTTTTAATAAATGTTTGATGAGAGTCTTCATACAGGGAAAGAACATCTCAATATTCGCTTATTGATGCAAAAAAATAAAAGTTATTAATGTAGTACCTTCATTTCTTATTGGATTTCTAAAAAAAATATCTATAAAGATTTTAATTATTTTTTTTTGAATTATTTTTTTAGTCGAATCCGACCGATTCTCAATCCGAAACGTTGATTCACTAATCCAGATGGGTTTTTAGGGTGCCCGATCTGTGGCACTGATTCGTTTTTTAAGCCACTGCTTCAAACATGATTTTTTAGAAGTATGGTGGAATAATATTATTATACAAATGTTGCTTTCATGCACGGGCAAGCTTTCTATACTTTCCCTACAACATAAAACTTATATACTTCCCATTCTGAATGGAGGGGTAAGATTGCCCCAATCACAATATCACGTCTCTACACTATTTTATTTTTAATTTTTCTTTCTATAAACTATTTTGACACCAAAATTTGGACTTCCAATCCTCTATTAAACTCACACTAGCGAAATTTTTTTTTTTTACAATATTTCCGATAAAAAATGGCCAAAATACCCTTAAAAGATTCAAAAGGTATTTTGGTCATTATATTTTATCAAAAATTATTCTTAATATTTTTTTATAGGTGCCCCACAATGAGAAGATGATATGTGCCAAATTTCATATTTATACAATTTATATAAAAAAACTAAAAATAAAATACTTTGAGATGTCGAATCTAAGATCAAATGGTTAGTGGCTCTCTTGATCAAATTGGTCGGCTGGATGGTAGAAGAAACATAGATCTTCTATGCTGTAAGGGAAGTATAGAAACCTTTCCCTAAATATTCAATGCCAAGAGGGACAAGTCTAAATGACATTAGTCCCTATAAATATTGGATACCAAGAGGGACAAGTCTAAATGACGTCAACATATAATCTTT